ACATTTTTCCCCATAAATTGCTTGCCTCAAGTTCCAAGTGGAAAATGTATGACTTAATGGTCATATTCNGTTTCACTTGTCGAACTTGAAGGCACCGTTGGCCCCCGGTTAGGGGTCAGAGCGTGGAACCTATGCCCAATTTTCCCTGTACGTTAACATTTTTTTTCTGGCAGTTCAAAACCTGAAGTTGCAGGAAATGGCTTCCATTTGTATTTAGATAAAGAAAAATGCTTCAGCTTCCCCCCTCTGGAGGGGGGCCATGCCCCCCTCCAGACCTCCCCCCCACGACGCTCACGCGTCGTCTCGGGTGCTACGCACCCTCCTCCGGGGTACTCTCAAATCCTGGGGAGAACCCTGAATAGATACTACTAAAAAAAAGGGCTCTAAGATTTCTTACCATAAACAGTTACTTTTTGGATGAAGATATGTGTTCAAATAAAATGATATGTGTGTCATACACCTACCTACATTGTACCTAGATCTACATGTACAAAAAGTTCTGCCAGTTCCAAAACGAACAGTGGACAGCTGCAGCATCATACAACAAAAATTTCATACAGTGTCATACAAGTTACAACACCAATTCTAATTCTTCATGACCCCTAACCCTTACCCTTTCCCCCCTGCCACATGTCTCATGGATGTGAACTCTGACGATGAGGCCGCCTCTGTGGCCGCAGGTACAGGGGCTTCAGCGGGGGTGTCCGCTGCAGCAGAGGGAGTGCCTGTCTCAGTAGGGATGTCCACTTGAGTGTAGTCTTCACCTTCAGGCACCATCAGGGCTATCAATGCATTGATGCGAACATTCTTTGTGTTCCCTGGTACCTATAAGAGACAAGAGACATCAATTAAAAATGTCAGACATACATGTACCTTGACAATTGCCAGGTAACAGAAAGTATGGAAAGTCTAGAAAAAAACTACAATCCCTGGTCCACATTCTAACACTAGCCATACATGATTACTTGTCATGCCTGTACTCTCATCTGCCGAATAAATACCCCCCCCCCGGAATAAACGTACCCCCCGGACAAATCTTCAAAATCAAATAAACATACCCCCGGAATAAACGTACCCCCCGGAAAATTACCAAAATTGACGGGTAACCTGTGTCTCTTGTACTAAAATGCGCCCCTACTGATATATACGCAAATCTTTAACTGTTATTTGCAATTAGGAATTGAAATAGACAAAAAAAAGGGGCATTTAATATTTCGTATTTTGATAAGCACCACCCATGACAATAGAACATTCAGACGAATTTATGCACGCGGTGATTGCAAAAACCGGCCCAAAGATGACAAGTTTCTCGCTACAGTACGCGTTTATAAACGTCTTCACG